TCCTGGGGGTAACATTTGTGTCCTTTGGAGCCGAAGGCCCATCTACGACTCTGCCTTTTGCCCGACTCGGGTGTCAGCGCCGCAGGCCTAGGTAGATGTATGCCAGGCGCGTCGCAGCGTAACAGTGTTTCGTGAGATGTCGCGAAGCCTGTTACGCGAGACGTGGTCTGGCGTACATCTACCTAGTATACCACTAAACGAGATGGTTTGAGAGTGGAAACATTTTACTTAACCTGTTTTTTGGGTGTTCAAACTTTCACCCCTTGCCATTTAGATGGCGACCGTTGATGAACAGCGGACTGTTCGGAAAAATAGTCGGGAAGGTGATAGCTTCTTGCACTGTCCAAGTGATGGCGCTGCAGTGCAGTCGCTCTAACCCCGCGAAATTTGAAAGGGAACAATGTGCCCCATGGACCAATGTGCCCCACTCTCCCCTACCTTGCGCGAGTTTGGTTACAGTTGTCTTTATAAATGTGTTTCTGATTCTTGGACGGGAGGTGTCGTCGAACCGGTTTAAACATCCAGTCAACAAAACGTAGTCCCGAACACATCCCTAGTACAACCCGATTAGGATGTGGGACGTCCCAGCCAGGACGTCCCACAGTACTACAGAATGCAAAATTTTTAGACCCTGAGCAGATGATAAGCACCTCCCACCAGTACGTCCGTCATGAGTGGGAGGTGATTGTCACATCCCGGAAGGAACGTCCCCAGGAGAAACTTCCAGGACTTGACCATCATTTAATGTAAAACAATCTGATAATATTCAAAAGTCAAGTGAGGTTCGGTGAGTTTTCATTTGAGCCTTAATTTTATATTTATCTAGAAGCAGGTACCGGAGAACTCGGTCAAGGTTGCCAGAGTTTGCAACAATTATTTATGGTAGTCATGTGATGTACAACTTGACCACAATTACACCTCACACTTGGCGAGGTGTCTATAAGAGAGGTATGCTGATGATCCGCGAGATTTAAACTGCACATCACTTAAGGTGAGGTGTGGGTGAAAATTTATGCGAAAATCATAAAATGATTGAACTTGTTTTCTGTGCTTAAAATGTTCCTGCGCCCTTTCTCTGCCAATGCATGCTTGGTCTTTGTTCGGGTCTTTACTTTTACTTTAATTTCGAAATGCCACTTTATGATTTAAGCTCATGTTTAAGGTTTAAAGTCGTTCTTCACGATACTATGTTTTCTGATCTTTGAAAAATCACTTGCGCATTAGATTCAGTGTGGGTGTGTTTATATTAAGAGGAAAAATACTTTTCTGTACAGGGAACAAAGTTACAGAGAGATATGTTCAATAGACAGTAAAATTTCTCACTGAGAATTAAATAAATCACAAAACATGGCAAAATTTTAAGGTTTTCTGTGAAGCACTGATAAAACACATTGCTGTGAATGTTTAGGGGGGCTAAAAAGGAAATCTCTCTCTGTAAAGTTATTCTTCAGGATAAAAGAAAACCAAAAATGTGTTTGGTTGAATTTTACTGTCAAATCTAATGCGCAAGTGATTTTTCAAAGTATGGCCTAAATTTGCCTTAAAATGCCCATAACTCCCAAACCACTGGACCAATCTCGGTCGTACTTTGTCAAAAATGTTTTTTTCACATGCCTATCATACTGTAAAAGTGTCTGTACATCATGACTTCTCGTTACCGATTTCCTATTTTCACCCACACCTCACCTTAAAATCTGAAATTGTGCAAGCAAGTGAGCATCGGTAGTGCAATTCGACTTCATGCCCCTTGCTTTATACGCGAATAACATAACTTTTCAAAATAGTTAATAGTTCGTACATTTTAACGCAAAAATGATAAAATCTTCGAGGATCGCGACGCCAGCGCTATCTGTCGGCCAAATGGCACGGCACACGGCTGCCACTGGCACTGGCATACCAAAGATCCCCGCAGCAGATATACATAGGATGTTCATCATCCTGCTTGTCCCCCTAACCATGACCTCCCGAGCACGTTCTATGTAGTATGTCCTGGTGACATTCATACTGGCACATCCCTAGCAGATGCATACGTGACGTCTTTTCCAAAGACATGCTGGTCAGCACCCTGACTGAACGCCCCGAGGAGCAGACCGACGGGTGCCCCTGAGGAGGTACTCATATGTTACGTCCTGCCCGATAACATGCTGAGTAGCTCCTCGGCAGGACACCCCAAGGAGCTTTACCTTTCGTATATCCTGAGGAGTAACTTCTCAGTACCTTAACTCAGAAGCAGGGGCCCGTAACTTACACAGCAAAGATTTTCCCGTGAAGTTTCGTGTTTTTCTAATTTCGTATTTTTGATGGTTTGTGAGCCGTGCAGGTAGAAATGAAGCTAGGCCGTCCTCAGATTTTCTTTTAACTGGTTTGCCGTCAAAGTTCCCTCAAATACGCGTTCTTTCCGTAAAAGTTACTACTTAAGGGGGGTTTATAGTTTTTAAATTGATTTTTTGCATAAAAATGGATAAATGTAGTTTTTGGCCCCCTACAGATGGCTATGGTCAAACTGGGTGGAACTTTCATTTCCTATTAGACACTGAAGTAAGAAACAACAATAGATTGTAGGTATGGAGGTACCTTTTTGGTCCCAGACACTGAAGCGCAGAGAAAAGTTGATTGTTTTACTTAAAAAATTGCGCGCATGATTTCTCCAGCAATATTGGGTTTAAAAATCTCCCATAAGGTTTTCCTGAATCAGAATCAAAAGGACTACAAATTGACACAGGGTTTTTGATATACTATGTAAAGCAAAAATTTTCTATCAAATTATTTGAGAAAAAAAGTTTATGAACTTTTTTTAGGAAAATTAGAGGTGATATGGTTATCAAAAATCTTTGTTTTACATAGTATACCAAAAACCCTGTGTCAATTTGTAGTCCTTTTGATTCTGATTCAGGAAAACCTTATGGGAGATTTTTAAACCCAATATTGCTGGAGAAATCATGCGCGCAAACTTTTAAGTAAAACAATGAATTTTTCTCTGCGCTTCAGTGTCTGGGACCAAAAAGGTACCTCCATACCTACAATCTATTATTGTTTCTTACTTCAGTGTCTACTAGGAAATGAAAGTTCCACCCAGTTTGACCATAGCCATCTATAGGGGGCCAAAAACAACATTTATCCATTTTTATGCAAAAAATCAATTTAAAAACTTTAAACCCCCCCTAACCTAAAAATATTAGGCGGGAAAAGTGAACTGGGAAGTACTTTCCCGAAATCAACCGGGGACTTTACGGGGAAATGTTTGCTGTGTAACATGAAACTCCCCTGTAGCGGTACGTTATCCGTTAAAGTTATAACGTATAACTTGTCACCATACAATGAAACGTTAAGAGTTATAACTTATGACTTGTGACCATAGAATGAAACGTTAAGAGTTAGACTCAAAATGCCGGAACAAGCTCCAACTAGCACCAGAATAATTTTTGACGACCCATAACTTTAACTTTTATTGCAAATTGTTAAACGTCACGTTATATAACTAACGCATAACGCTAATGCGGTGCACGTTAATTTATACAACTAACGCTCAACGCTAATGCGTTAAGGTACGGACCCCTGCTCAGAAGTACCTCCCAATCAGATCCCGGCCCAGATGTCTATGTGCTCGTGCTGCACAATACATCCTGACTGCTCCGAGGCATGTATTTTTGGGATGTCCCAGTAGCACGCGTGAGGGATTCGTGTGGGATGATCCCAAACTCCTCCCATAAGTAAATAGGAGCTGCTTTGTTGACTGGGCAAACGGCTGTTCTGTTTGTATTGATAGAACACTCAGTTGTGGACGACGATTTCTTTCACTGCTTTCCACGCTCACCGTGAGTGTAGCATTGTGGTGTGCTATAATCGGATCTACACTCGATGATATGACAATCGATATGAACCTCTAATTGTCGTAATGTATATTACGTCCTGTCCCCGCGTTGTCACTTAGTTCAACAGTCGCGGAGAAGGTAAGGAGATATACTCATAACCTCCGCGAGTTCACTGTTATTCAAGGAATGTGACGTCACATTCGTTTTAATGTGAAACATGTCACATTCGTTTGAATATTGTGTCACATTCATTTAAACGTGACTTCAGGTGAGGTGATGCTCTAATAGCGCCCAGGCTAGGCCGATTCACGTTTAAACGAATATGACACAACATTCAAACGAACGTGACACGATTAACATTGAAACGAATGTGACGTCACATTCGTTGAAAAACAGTGTTTGTGTGGCACGATTTGCATCTTTTAACCACCCTAGCTGTTTTGGTTTTGCGATCCGATTTTGGCACACCACAATGCTACACTCACGGTGAACGTGAAACGCAAATAAAAAAAATGACATCCATAAACGAATGTTCCACCCGCACAGACAGAACAGCCGTTTGTTTAAACGGGTTCATCAGCTCCCGTCCGAGAATCAAAAACACATTTATGTTGGTATTTATTATCAACGGTACAAATTTCGCACAAGATAAACAACTGTAACCAATATCGCGCAAGGTACAGCTCACCGAGCCGCAGATATCTCGATCCACCACTCGCTCCCGCGCACACCGCTGAGTAAAGTCGGGCCAAGGGTAACGGCCGATTTGCCTCTAGCTCTTCTGCACTCTAGCTCTTGCGACGCCTAGGGCTTGTGAACTCTAGCTCTTGCGACGCCTAGCTCCTGTGGATACTAGCTGTTGTGGCTCTAGCTCTTGTGAAGGCCGTCGCATAAAGCTACATATTTTCATTACCTTCGTGAAAAATATGTGACTTGAATTGGCAATAGTCCTTTACATATTTCTAAGATTTATTTTTCGGTCCTTTGTGCTCTTCTTGCGGGAACGCTTTTTTAACACAAGGAAAGACATAACGGGGGTGCATGTAGCTAAATGTCGACAATAATTAAAAAGTTTTCCTAGTATTTTGCTCCATCTTACAGTATTTACCCGTAATCGCAGGGCTCAAAGGCAACCAAAGCACACGAACTAGCCATTAAAATTCGGTCACGAACCAAAGCTAATTTACGTATACTTCAGTCACAGTCCCGCAGACTTCACAGAGATTCTAGAAAGTATGGGAATCAACATAAACCAGTTTGAACTCACATGTTTAAATCTCGCCGTAAAAGCTGACAACCTGCAGAGAAGTGTTGACGACGGAAGGTAGCCGACTAACTTGAGCAGTGTCCCTTCTGCCGTAGATATTATTTGTGAATTATAGGGTATTGCAAGATAGAAAATAGTACAAAAAAAGGGTATTCAGGAGCTATGAGCAGGTTGTTCTTGAATGGGATGTTCGAGCTCTAAGAGGGAATATAGAATGAACATCCATTTGCAGGGAGATAAACAGTTCGGTGGCACATTCATGTTTCATGCGTATGCGTACACAGAAAATAGAAGCTTACGAATGTCGCACACCTTCAGCTGCCAGAAGAAATTGACAGAACTGTGTGCGATGAATGTTTTACTCGCCTACACTGTTATTCGAATACTGTGACGTCACATTCTATGAAATGTGAATTTTGTCACTGCAGAATAGCTTGCCACACTCGTTATAACGTGACATAGGTAACCTACGCCCACCATGCCGTTGAGCGATGCAGGGATATGTCACGTTCAAAGGAATGTAACATGATATTCAAAATAATGTGAAAACAAATACATTTTAGAGAATGTGACATCACAGTATTTTAATAACAGTGTCCAACTGCAGTTAAGCTGCAGCTGGTTCACAACACTTGAAGGCGCTTGAAGGTGTCCTCTAGTGCAAGCTGCAAGCTAGTCCTTGAACATTATGAGCGCTTTACCTTACGTCCGAACAACGATTTAGAATTTTTCTTTTCACAGGAACAAGATGAACTGCCTTCCTGTAATACTTGTCGCTGCTATGACGCTGGCAGAATCACAGTGTGCCATCTTACACGGACAAAACGAAAGTCCAGTGACACTTCCTAACGACCTACTGATCGGCGCAGGCGTGGCTGCTATACAGGTTGAGGGGGCGTGGGATGAAGATGGTGAGTTGATAACCCTTCAACAACGAACAGTTTTACTACTTATCTCCTTTACTCCAAAAGTCTTACTAAAAAGTCAGTAGATAAGTGCACTTCCGCAGCAAAGACCTTGTTGTTAAGGCTTCGAATCGATAAATGGTACCTGAAGTATCTGCGTGCATCCACAGATTTCCAGTCTCCTATCACTTTACGGGTGTTAGGAGCCCTACCCGTGTAGTACGGGACGCCTTTTGTACCCAACTTGGTTCCTTTTGGCAAATCACCACGAGAGCAGCCGCATTGCGTTTTGTAGACATGCGCGAACGGGTATCCAGAAAATGTCTGGAATTTTCAGTGTCGAAGAAAGGTCCAAATATTTTCTCGACGGCCTTTAGTCCCTAACCCAGCGGTTTTCGCTGTCGTCTTTTCGGACGAATGTTTATAAGCAGTGAATTTGATACTCCGCAAAAAGCAGGGTGTGTTAACAGAAGACTCAACGTGTCAATGGAAGGCGGATCTAAAAGCCGCTTAATCACGAAAATTGTTGCCATTATGAAAGTCATCTCTGACGCGTTGTTTTGATTTTCCTGGGGGTAGGTAAAGCGGAAAGTAACCTGGACCACTTGTTTCATCTTGGGCGGTTGTCCTCCCTGGGCGCAACGGACCCGCACGCTCATGACGTAGCAGCAGATAACTACCACCGTTACAAGGAGGATATCAAAATGGCAGCGGCCCTCAAGGTAACTACATGCTCTAATTGTTGAGTCAAAGTGAAATGAGATTATTCTCCGAGCTGTAGCAAAGCCCACACGCTGAGTGTGAATGAACAATCTCGTTCACTGTAAAAATAATCATCTCATTCTACTGGACTCGCAACGGACATTCCGGCATAGAATAATTCAGAAAAGAGGTACGGAAGAACCGGGTTGAGTTGGACCGTGAAACTAAATGTACACAGTAAAACCGTGCCCTGGGATTCCCAGGAGATTTTTTTCCCCAGGGGTTCCCTGTTATTCCCAGGAGACCTACTGGAAAACCCAGGACATCTTCCTGGGAAACCCAGGACGTCTCCTGGTTTTCCCAGGCGTTCCCTGGGACTCTTCCAAGTCCCCTGGAAAATGAGAAAAACTCCTGGGAATCCCAGGGCTTGTTTTTAACGTGAGGGCGCGGACGCGTACGGAAAATAATTGCCGCTTACATCCGTGGATTACGAGGGGCCACTGTAAAAATTCTTTGTCACGATGACGAAAGTACCATGGCTAATTTTTAGTACAGGGGTGTCGTCATGGGTTTTTTCATCACATGATTAAGGTTTTCTCGTCACCGTGACGAGAAAATTCATGACGACAGCCCTGTACTAAAAATTAGCCATGGTATTTTCGTCATCGTGACAAAGAATTTTTACAGTGGGGCAATAACTCCCTTTTGATGTGTACACATGATTCCCGATTTACTTGATTCCCATTGATTCCCGTTCGCCAATATTCATTCCTTAGGTTTTCTCGAGTTTTCTAGTGGTAGAAAACGCTAATTTTGCCTAATTTGTACCAGTTTCACTTGTTTCCCGCTTAGTTTAGGCGATTTCCTGATGATTCCCAGGCAGGTGTACACACGATTCCCGGAGTTATTGCCCCCTCGGTAGATTACGTGATACGGTTGCTTCGTATTCGTACCCTAGCAATGAGGTACGGAACAACCATTTGGCTTCGACCGTAAAACACACCCAGAGTAGATGCAATTTTGTTCCTAAAACTGGCCTAATTGTTAGAACACACACAAAATTGCATCTGGGCTGGATGTAACGTCCCCGTTTACGGAATAAAATTAGGCATTTTATTTGAGTCCAAAAGGTCGTAAGAAGTTTCATTATTAAGGGGGCAGACCTGTGAATCAGAGGGTTTGGGAAAATAGTCACTACATAAAAACTACACGCCGCATCAATTTAGGATTAAATGTTTATTACGAGCATAGATGGACGCTAATTTTGCCGCTGGGGCCGGTGCGCGCACTCTCCAGAAACATGCCCTTCTTCACCTCCAACTGGACGATGCTGTCTGTTTGGTGTGCACGATTGTGCTGCAACGGATTGGTCTGCGACTGTCAACAAAATTGCTACTAACTCTAAAAAGATGCCGCTAGTGGTTGACCTGGGGGTTTTGCAAATTTCAAGATGGAACTACTCGAAAAAAATCATATAGCTGAAATACGAAAAAATTGAAAAATTTGTTTTATCCATTGTGATTTTTTTCGGTTACTTCCATTTTGAAATTTGCGAAAACCCCAGATCAACCACTAGCGGCATCTTCTAAGAGTAACTAGCATTTTTTTACCGTCGCTGACCCATCCGTTGCGCTGCAATCGTGAACACCGAGAAGGACTGCACCGTTCCAGTTGAAGGCGAAGATCGGCATGTTCCTAGAGAGTGTGCATACTGGCGCCAACGGCAAAATTAGCGTCCATCTATGCTCTTAATACATCTTTAATCCAAAATCGATGCGGCGTGTGGGTTTTATGTAGTGACGATTCTTGCAAACCCTTACATTTCACAGTTCTGCCCCCTGAAGAATAAATGTTACTCTTGCCATAGCTATTGTACTTGTATTTTGGCTTCGACACTACTTGCCACTCCTCTCGCTCCTGCCTCTTTCGCAGGGCCGAATAGGGTACCTATTCCAGAGCTGGTCGAATCTTTCAAGTGTTCTAGTGGTTCCCTTCAATCACAACAAAGGCTTCACTAACTTCACTCCAATTCTTTCCACTTGTACGGTGTATCCTACTGCTCCTTATTTGTGGTGGAATTAGAAAATGCCCCTTTGTCATTCAGCTGCAGGTTTACCGTTTCTCTTTGTCATGGCCACGGATACTGCCAAACGTCACTGCTTCGAAGCCAAATCCGAAAGGAGTTCAGTTCTACCATGACGTGATTGATGAAGTGCTGCGCTACAATATGACGCCAATGGTAAAATATTTCAAAGAGTCTTAATAACGTAGTAAGAATAAACGAGAAAGTTTTAATATGTTTTTCTAATTGTGTTTCAATTAATTGAACAGGTCACTGTTTATCAATTCGACCATCCACAAGTACTTGAAGACCAGTTTAAGGGTTGGTGGAGCCCGAACATGATTCCCATCTTCAAAGAGTACGCCCGCTTCGTTTTTAATGAATACGGCGGAAAGGCAAGTACTAGAGCAAATATTTCAAGTAGGGTAAAAGATATAGTATATCGTAAGAAAGTCTAACCGTTTTTCTGCTTTTTTTTTAAAATGAAGGTGAGGTACTGGACGACGGTGAATGAACCGAATATACAGTGCACATACTTCGCACAGGCCGGCGTTATCTCTGGTTTGTACACGGAAGACGAAGTGAGCAACCACTTCCAATGCCAGCGTAATCTTTTACTCGGACATGCCGAGGCATACCACGTGTTTAAGGAGGACAAACACGAAGGCAAGTACTTTAATGGTGTCTTGCAAAGTTAAAATATTTTTTTCCAATCCTTGAACGTCTATCGAACACAATTTTTATTCAATGTCGTTCAAAACTGTTGGTCGGGCCGTTCTCGGCGAAAAAATGGCGAAGCCTATTACTACAGTGACTAAAACATTTCCCGACTGTTTGTAATCACGGTTACCGATTGAGGTGAGAACCCAGGCCCACGGATCAGAATAGGGCGGCCTGGGTGTGTCTCTAAGAGTACCTCTCAACTTCGTGCGTTTTAGTTCAACGTGTCGAAATGTAGACTCTTGCATGCTAATAGTATCTTCTTTTACAGGAATGGTGGGTTTGACCATACTTAATCTACCAGCAACACCAAATTCAACAAATCCAGAAGATGTGTACGCCGCGGAAGCAGTCAACAGTTTGTATGCGGGAACTATTTACCACCCGGTCGTGTTTGGTGACTACTCACAGGTGAGTAGCTCCCCGAAAATATGGCTCAAGTTGAATGAAAGCACTCTAGATGTGAAGGAACAAAATATGTTATTTCAGAGCTGGGCGTGAAGAAGTAAAATGAAAGAACGAAAGCAGCGTGCGCAGACGCCCCCACTCCATCCCCTGCTTACCCCACTCAGCGTCTGTGCACGAGCAGTACGCCTTTAGTTCTTCCACTTTGCACGGTAAAAACGACGTCCTGGTTTTCATGACGTTTTGGAAAAACCATGACCTCTTATGGAAGAAATGCATTGGAAACGTCATGGTTTTCAAAACGTCATGAAAACCAGGACGTCATTACGATGGCTCCCTGCAAAAGCATACGTTCTGTACGATACGCGTCTAAAACATACGTTATGTACGATACGTGTCTAAAACATACTATCCGTTTTTAGCTTTTTTTGCAAGAATATTTTTGATAGCCTATTTACCAGATTTGCAGGCAAAAATTTATTGTTTTTATGGGCGGAATACAAAGAGGGAAGATCGAACTTTCACCTGATACCGAGAAATGAATGTTTAATAACTTTCTTCCATTCCCAAACTGCTGCCGAAAATATGCTAGCGAAAACCGCCGAAAACGGATAGTATGTTTTAGAGACGTACAGTACCGTATAGATCGTATGGTTTAGACGCGTACCGTACAGAACGTATGCTTTTGCAAGGAGCCGTCGATTATTACCGTGTGCTTCTTCACGTCCAGCTCTGAAATACCATACTGTTCCTGGCTGCCGATCCGAGCGGCGCGCGGAAATCAAACGCAGCAGGGAAGCGTAGCTTGCGTTTAAATTCTTTGAATCATCGCGGCTTTTAGTGGTGTCCCTGTTCCGAATAGTCACACCGGAAATTGTGACGGATGTGGAGGACCCCACAGCTGATAAGCTGAGCCTTAAAGCTAAAAAAGACAAAGAATCTGAATAAAAGCAAGACGCGAAGCCTATCAATCTAGTCGAGCGTCCAGTCCCTCAGATGGAGATGACGCCCAAACTTATGAGGGGCCAACCTTCCCGATCTATGTAAAGTTACAGGCTAGTCGTAATACAAGGAAATTTCCTGTATATTACGGTTGCACAGACTTCATTATACTACACGGAAAAAATAATAATAAAAGATTTATAGTGCACTCCGTACACGGGTCCCATAACTCTTGCTTTCGGTGACATGCTTATCTGGAATACCCAACAATGCCTCCTCACAGAGGTGCGCCGTTTTGTTCAGCTCTTCTCCGCTAGCGCGACACTGAGATGGCCCACCACTAGCGGGGAGGGGATCTAGAGTGCGGCTCTGGTAGGCGCGACTGTACGAGGGAGCACTGTATTTTCTTTCTTATTGCCACAGATTTCCAAAGACCTGGCTGGAGAAGACCTTGCACCATTTACCGATACCGAAAAACAACTTCTTCAAGGTAAGGATATGAAAGAGTGTTCCAGGCTATCTAACAAGGAAGTGAAAAAGAACAAGCTCATTGATCCATCTGTTTCCGTCCGTTTAGTATGAGAAATTACCACGGTAGTTTGGTCCGATTCTATCCTCACAAATATGGAGGAAAAGTCGAAACTGATCAGACAGTTTCTCATAACTAAATAGGTGTAGAGGTACACGATCAGCCCATTTAATCAGAGCAAGTACGGAAACAGAGTCAATGAGTTTGTTCTTTTCCCACTTCCGTTTTGGATGGCTTAGAGTACCCCATTGCCCTGCTTTTTGAAAACATACTGGTGTTTATAATAATCGGGTACACTTACTTAGATTACTCTAAAATACAGTGGTGTTCAAAATAGGCGACAGCGCTTCCTTAAGGGGGCAGACCTGTGAAAATGTAGAGGTTTGCAAGAATCGTCACTACATAAAAACCACACCCCGCATCGATTTAGGACGTAGGGCCCCGTGCGTTAACATTGTGCACGGGGTAGCTGAGCGAAGTGCATTAAAATAACAGAGGACGTAAAAAATATAAAACAAAACTATAA